AGAGGCATAGACCGAGATAGAGTATTACATATTTTTAGGATCTTTATCTCTATTTTTCATGTATTAGAACTTGTTGATTAGACTAAGAGCAGTTATCTGGAACTGCGTCAATATTTTTGAAATTTTTTGATGAATGGGAGAGGCTTTTTCCGATGTTGGTTACTCTGCCATTCCACACACTTGTACCGTCAGTTGTACCTTCATGAAAGGAAGATAATCACTCCAAAATATTTTTGTGACACTGTCGTCTGGTGAGGTATCATATACCCTTGGGATTTTTACATAAAATTCGAACTTTCATTACCCGGGCTGGGTAGCCGTGGCCCAATGAAGACAGTAACTCCGAACGTTTCGCCCATAACCGATGGGCATCTTCAGCAATGGTTGGCAGCGATACCTTGCGACCTCCTCGTTTAAATAAAGTATCGGTGCACAGTAGAGCCTGGTGCTGTGAGCATGAATAGGAGCTAAAAGAATTTTTAACCCAATTCCTTATATACCTTCAAGCTAGGTGGAATGCCTAGAGAATGCATTAAGTATGTCACTGACGGACATCAAAATACTGTCGGGCTAATTATCATAATTGGTATTCACTGCAGGTTCTGTTGAAAGTTAACTCGGCGAAAAAAAAATTACTAAGGTTCGATCGCCAACACATTTGAGCCAAACGCCAATTTAGTATGGCTTGCATGCTAGTATGCCCCATCTCGACTCCACTGTGTACTTACCCCAAGACTCATTTTAATAACTTGAATAACAACAACAAAATTAAACTGAATATATTTGTTGAATCAGATTTGAATACATAAATTATAGGAAAATCAAGTAAAGTTTATGTTTCGATATTAATATTGTTGTAGATTGTAAAAAAAAAAAGTTTCAAAAATGTATTTTGCATACTTATAGATTTTTCAAAGATATTTGAATTTTCAAGTTTGCTTTGCAGACTAAAATATAATACTTCAATCATTTCAAAGTTAGTAAAATACTTAATGGATTTCTTCACAAACTCTAATATAGCATTTCCTTTCCAACTTACGTTATTTACTATGTTGATTAAAGTTCACATTCCTCTGAAATATAACCCATAAGTCACAAACATAAGCTCTCTCTACACATGTATTTACACTAGCTGATCATCAAACTTCATTCACGTGGACTTAAGTTTTAGGGTCTTCCCATATTTTCTTACAGCAAAAAGTTCTCATGTGTTTGCCTATATTTGATTTGAAGGAAAATTGTTTTACAAACTATATGGTTAACAACGAAAGTTTAAAATAAGTCAGCTAAACAGTATTTTATAGTCAGTTTTTGCAAAAAATATTAGTAACGAATGAAATTTCATATTGTAACTCTTTCATATATTATGTTGTAGAGCGATCCCATAAATGACATTTAAGTTCCATAATGAATGTTTAGAGTACAAATTGAATAAGAAAAAGTGATTTTCGTATAATTCAATGTTTATATGAAAGTAGTTATTTGGGGGGAGGGCTTTTTCCCCAGTTTTCCACCTGAAAGTAACTTGTATGTATGACCTACACATCTTTGTGAAGAGTTCATTTTGAAATTAACTGCTTTCCTCCTTCCTTCAAAGGTTTCCTACATTTGTTTTTGTATGAAGATGGAGAAGTAGAAAGCCAAAACATTTCTTTCCCAAAAAATTGTGATATGATGAAATGTAAATAAACCTCAAATGTAAAATCGCCTATCTTGAAATTTTCGTTTTGTATGTAATATTGAATTTATGATATTTTCAACTTGTCTGATATTGTCTCACATAGTATATCTATCCATTCTACATTATGTATGGTATATGTTCAGATATGAAATTGATGAATGCATTTTTTTGTGCAGGTATGTTTTCTATTTTGTATACAAGCTATTTAATTTATTGGTGATTTATACCTGTTTGCACAGCCATATTGTTTTTATAGTGTATGAAGCTTTGTCCATAAGATTTCTGGTTTGGGAAATGAAGACTAGTATCATCTGCACTAAATTATGACTATAAATACACGTTCAAAATATATCATACCTTTATTAACACTTCTAGTATTCACTATATTTGATTTTGCTGTTAATAAATGCACGTTAAAAGGTAATACCTCATTAATCCTTATTTCGCACAAGTTACGACTTTCGAGGGGTGTCGTTCGTAGGGGGGGGGGAGAAGTTACAGCTGGTTAACGGAAAAACACATTTTTTTTCAACAGACAGACTCAATTCCATCTCATTAAAAAAATGGGACACTCCACTATTTACAAAATTTCATTTTTACACTTGATACTTAAAATCCGTTACATTTTCAGAGGACTCTCAAGATTATGTAGAAGGATAAGTTTTGGGGGTCTACTACCTATAAAATTTGATATTGATAGTAATAACATCTATACCGGGTGTTCCAAATTAAGTCTGCACCATTGCCAACTCCATTATTACTGATGCTACGAATTAGGTTAAATGGGCAAATAAAACCTCATGATTGTCCAGACACCCTATTTTGGTACTTATAAGAATGACAATTTTTTATCACTAACAGCGAAAAGAAATTTGCGCTGGGATTTGAACTCGTGAAACCCGTGATCATCATGTCGTATACCACTCACTTGACACTACTGAGCTATTTGGTATTAATTTACAAAACGATTATTTCCATCTCAAAGCTATTCCACTAACAGTATTTATTTTGTGAATCAAAATATGTCTGCTATAATGATAACATTGAAGCCGTTTTTGTACAGAACAGAAAATACTGAAGCCACATATTAATGCCATTGGAAAAAATGTGTTTGATTCGATAAAACAGAATTATTATGATTAATCAAGTTGCCTTGAAACTTTATTGAAATACTATTTGTCAAATATTCGCAAGTATATCATGACAATGTCATAAATTATTGTAAACTACTGTTCTAATATTATTTAAAATGCCATTTTCTTGGTTTGCCAAAAAAATAACGTAAGAGTACTCCAACACTACAGCAATGCGTTCCCTGGTCGTGAATAACCTAATCGGCGTTTTTTTGTTGTGCTTCATCATAGATTCAGAAACAATGAAAAAGTTTTTGAGAAGAGGAGAACTAAAAGACGTTTTGTAATGTCTGAAGATACAGAAATTGACGTTTTAGTCTACTTCTAGGTGAATCCAAATAATTCCATCAGAGATTTATATAGAGAAATAGCTGTTCCACCGTCTGTTATTCAACGAATTCTGAAAAAACATAAGATTTCCCTTATAAGTTAAGACAAATGCAAAATGGTCTCATCGTTCACCAGACATGACACTTCGAGATTTTTATTTTTGGGTATTTCTGAAAAATAAGGTGTACAAAATGAAACATAATAATGCAGATGAACTGAAAAATTATATTGAAACTATAATTAATAGAATTAATGACCGAATCGTCCTGAAAGCATTACGCAGTGTCAACAGAAGGGCCCAAATATGTGTTCAACAATAAGGCGGTGTTTTTAAATATTTACTCGACATATTATAGCTCTTTCTTCACCAAAAACAAAAAAATGTTTTGTACTAGTGAAAGAAATAAATATTTCCACATAAGTCGCTCATTTTCAACTTTAGGAAGACAGGTGATATGAGCTTTGTTGTTGAGAATGTTCTTACGAATCGAAATCGAATGCTACTAGCTTGCCCATTCAAACGAATTCGTAACGTCAATAATTACGGAGTTGGCAATGGTGCCGATTTAATTTGGAACACCCTATATATATTTGATGACTCAAAACAGCATAATGTACAATAGTTTTTTTACCTCCCTATATATATATTAAAATCTCACATTAGTATGGGAGTTTAATGGTTGATGAACTAATTTATCAATATATAATAATTAACTTGTTTTTCTTTGATGTATTATCTTAGTAAACAATGTTCAATATGTTGAGTTGAAAGCTATTTTATGCATTCATTATTCTTCCAACAAAAACTAATCAAGATAACCAAGGAAAATATGATATTGCTGATGTATGTTTATTTACACAATTGTAAATTACAATGAACAGGGATTGTTTATTGAGGAAAGAAATGATCATTTTGTTAAGAATGTGCCTTCATGTTGGGTCTTTTATAATGAAAGATTCATAGCTGTTGCACTATTTTTCAAATTGAAATATGTCTCTTTAGATAAGAAATTTTCCCCAAGATTAGTTACCAAATTTTGGAGGTATTGTGTGGAAAAACTTTCAATTTAACCTCTTCAACAATATGCAAAGAATACTAAACTTATAAACAGAAAAAGTCAAGAGTTCTCTGAAGCAACCACTTCTTCCAATATTTGACACAGAAATCACTAATTCTTCATTCAATAACAAGTTATTTTGATCTTTCCTTTCTTTGGAAGATATCTGATTTCAATATATTGAGAAATGGAGAAATATAAAATAAAAAAATGGTTTTTCCATTCTGGTAGTACAACAGTTTCATTGGAATATAACACAGATTTACTTGTAATTCATAATCAATGCTTAAAAACTGATGTGAAATCATAATAATGCAATCTGAAACTCTAATGAACCCACAAAACCTCACCTCTTGCAAAAACACTTCACTGACATATATCTATAAAGTGGGTACTAAATACTGACCTGGGAAAGGCATCGAAGAACCATGTTCTTTTGGTGTTAGGAAAGGCTACTCTCATTCCAGACATGAGAGGAGAATGCAATATCACAGCTCCAACTTCATATCTAGCTGCTAAGTCAACGGTTGGTACAGTGCCAATACTTTGGCCATATAGTATAATATTTTCGGGGCTAATTCCATATCTAGTCCTTAATGCCTGCCAGGCGGCATCAATATCAGCATATAAGTTTTTTTCTGATGGTTTTCCAGCACTCACACCATAGCCCGAATAATCATAACTGAATATATTACAATTGATACGAGATCCAAGTCCCAAATAAAAACTACTAATTTGTCCTAAATCAACTGCATTCCCGTGTGAAAATAAAATAGTAAATCTGGCAGTACTGCTACACCTAACAAATAAACAGGCAATTCGATTTCCTCTAGTGGTTCGCGTAAAAAAAACTTCTACATTTTCTTTTTCTCTTTCGGGAAATTGCCATTCAGCTCGTTCAGTTAACACAAAAGTGCATTTTCCATTTTCATCGGACACAAGTTCGTATGTAGGATCTGGTGGTAAGAATGCCAATTTCGCTGCTATTCTGCTGGGGAAAGGTGGACAGCAAAACAAACAACACAATTCACTAAAACTTAAACCGTTCATCTTTCATTAAATTTCAATTCAAATTAAATCAATATAATTCATTAGAAATGTATTCATCCACGACAAAAAAAACTTTCGCTCATTGTTGTCAACAATGACAGCGCCATATTAAAAATTAAAAGTAAAAGCACGGAGCACAGTCACCTCTGCACACAAACACACACATAAGAGTCACAGAGGCATAGACCGCAATTCGCCGAGGACTCGCGAGAGAATAGTTTATCTGTTTCTGATCTAGCGTCTAACGCCCGACACTCCAGTCAGATTTCCACACAAATGTCATTAATATGTACATATAGCGCAGCACTTGGGATATATTTTGAATACTTCGCAATTCGCATTAACATTCGCTCAAATTTTAAGGCTCATTTCACAGGGTCCTGTCCATGACCTGTAAAAGTACTTTCACAGGTCCAGTCGCGAAACTAAAAGTAACTTCTCGCGAGATTCCCTTGATCTACCGGTAAGTGAACTTCAGTTATTGGTACATTTTCGCGTCGGAGCAGTATAGGGGAGGAGGATAATGACTTTATGAGTGACGTCATAATTTATAAAAGGGAACGGATTTAGTTCCCATATCTGTTAGCATGCTCATTGGCAGTTATAGAAGGTCTTGACAAGTGAAATTGTATCCTATGAATAAAAAAAAAACTTTGGGGTTTTCACCAATTTAAACTAAAAAAATGGAAGGACACGTTGAGCTTGAATTGAGTAATCGATGAGAAAATTTCACCATAGTTGTTGATACAGCTACAACAAAATGAACCAACCACATTAATTTTCCCAAATATATAAAGGAACCCACCGCAAGAGAAAATACCAGTCTTTGTCATCAACAAAAAAATAAAAAATTGAATGGTTAACCTATTCATTTTCGTGGGAGATCATCTATGGTAACAAATCAAATGGCCAATAGATGAATGCATTAAATAAAACAGTTGACTTACTGATATAAAATTAAAAATCTGTCCA